GAAATGTAATAAATGAGGGATAATTTGCTTTAGTCGATTTTTTTTTTCACTAATTCTATATTCTTTATTTAGCAATCAGAGTTACCGATAGAAGATCTCAATGGAATCAATGGAACACAATGGATAATTATCCATTAAGGTTCATTCGGCTTTTTTTCCTAACTTTGTTACAACGGGTATTATAGTTAGTGATGATAGTAATAATTGCGAGTTAACACAACCTCTATTACCAATATAGTCTAAATTTTAAGCCAATACTGTACAATAATTATGTATATACATATATATACTATCAGCTATGTATATATATATATTTCTTTGTTATACAGTATAAATCACATAAGAAACATTTGCTACAAATAACAATTGCCAGGAAGAGTGGAACGAATAAGTCATTTATAAGTGAAGTTACCAATGGCCAGAAATTTTAGATATTGTACCAGAAACCTTAAATATATTCATTCCAAAGTATTTTATGTACAAGACCCTATTTTTTTTTTAAGGGCAAGTTTAGTTTTTTTTAATCAGTTATTTTTAGTCAATTGAAGGCATAATAAATACAGCATCATACATTTATCGCAAGTTGGAAGCTGCATTATTGATGAAAATTACTTATTGTTTAAAAACATCACGCATTTGATGTTAAATTACATAACGAGGTGACGAATTATTCATGTGTTCATTTCTTAAAAAATAAATTTTTTTAAAATTGAATAAAACTTTATCTTTTTAATCTTTCATAATTTTTTTTTCTTTTTTTGAATATTAGACAATGAATCAGATCACGTGCTAAATTCACAATCATCATAACGATAAATTTAATTGTATTAAAGGATCAAAATTTTATCAGAATAATCGTAGCTTTTGCAACTATTCTCCTCGGCTGTTAACAATGAATTTTAATGCATCGTTTCTATGATGAGAATAACAAATACAATTCTCGAAATAATATATAAACAATGATCAGATCGACGAAGTTTAAACAAAACCAAAGTTTTTGAATAATTTTTATTGTAACGTAATAAAGCGATGATGGATAGGCTAGACAAAAGGGTCTTTGACAAATAAAAATTTGAATACCAAGAATCTCTGAATTGGGGGTTTTTTTTTTAGCTTTCAAAATCTTGCCAAAAAAGATTGGTCTTTCAGAATATATTTTAACTCTGCGTGACATTTGTGCACATTGGAGACTTTGAAACGTTTTCCATTTTTTTTTTATTTTTTTTATTTTTTTTCTTTATAACATTACAAATAAACTTGTAATATAGTGAGATGTCTGAATACAGAGAAATTCGTGAATTTTCTATTTTTGACAAGAAATTTATTCCTGGTGGTTTTGAGACACCTCTTACCAATCTATCTTTCTCTATTTCAACGATTAATTTAACTGAATTTTGTTTTAATGATAATCCTGTGTCACCCACTTCAAGTTCTTTATCTCAAGAAATTTTTGATTTAACCGGACCTCAATTTTGGCCAACATCAAAACCTGTAAAAAAAACCAATTTTTGGAAAAAAATATGGTCAAAGATATCTAATTCATCAACATCAACAAATGGATTTTTTATTATGAGATCAAAAAGACGTACGTCGAATGTTAGTGAGAGTAGTATCCTTACTGCGCGTTCGACCCAAGAATCCGACCTCAGAACAAATGATGGAGGAAATCAAGCACCGCCGACAACAATTTTACCTACCGCTACAGAGATAAATCCAATACGTTCACTATGCAAGCAGGATTCAGCGGATACAACATTTAATAATATCGATAAAGCACTTATAATTCGTTCTCGTCATCATAGTATCTCATATCCTCTTCGTGATCTTAAACATCCAAATCCAACACCTGATGAACAAATTTCTTGTTTGATTCAATGCGTTAATTTTAAAGTTCATATTTATCCACATTTATTACATTTCA